ATTAATGATGGCTACATGCCAATACTCATAAAATAGAACTATAAATTTATTTTACATAATGACAACCTTACTAAGGAATTTAAATATTTCATTATAAGTTAATGGAAGAATTGTTATGAGGTGCTCAAGGATGTACAGTTATGAGCTTTACACAGAAATGCATTTACCGACTTAGTTTTTGTAATATAATAGACACGTACAATACAAATTTTTATCTGAAAATAAACCTTTAGAATAAAGCTTTACGAGTTTGATATTGACCTGATATGATACAGTAATTAAATAAATTTCGTTTTCACAAGTCATGTTGGAAGTACATCGATAACTAGGCATCGATAATAATTTATCATTAATCAAAGAAATTAAAGAGACACTATTTAGTTACAGCACCATTAGCTCAGCCAATGTCAGATTTGTAGATAAATAGATGAACGAGGTTCCTAAAAAAATCGTGTTACTTACCTAACCAATCGATATTTTATCTACTTAATTTTGCAACGGCAAATGGCCACTGCAAGTTAACGTGATTTTATCTACTTTAGCAAAATGAACGCTGAATAAAAAATTTATGAATGAAGAAATCTTGTACCTACTAATCGTTTAATTATACAATAATTTTCTAAAAACAAGTGAAGTTCTAGTAATTGTGCTTAACCTCAGGTCTACGGTTAACCGTTCACCTATTTTTTTAAATAGGATCGGAATTTACAGAAGACCTAATTCAAGAGGTTCGAATTAGACCTGCGTATGCCTGTATAACAATTTGTCCGTTGTCCCTACGCTAAACGAAATAATAGCGAAACTGCATTTTCTAACATATAGATTTTATTATGAGTATACTCGTACCTATATCTTAACCGCGTATTTTGTGCTACAGTTTACAACTCTACGACTGGTTAGAACTCTGGTCTCGGCCCGCGATGTTTTGCCATCATTCAACAAATTGCATAAACCATATACCTAGTTTTATATTTTTTAATTGCACTGACCTGTATTTTGTTCTAAAATATCCAGATTATGAATAGACAAAAAACAACGACGACATTCTTTGCTTCGATTGCACACTCGAATTGTGATAATGTAATGTTTCACAGCGTTTTTGCTGCTACGGTAGCTACGGAGAGTGGTGCTAGAGATGATGATCCCTTGGTTTGCGTTCAGTACGAACGCGAGAAATCAGATCGCGAAAAATAATAATCGATTAATTATTATGTTCATTCATCATTTACTACATTCGTTGAATTAAATTCGTTTACAAAATTAAATTCAAAACAAACAGTTTTTCTTGTTAGTGCATATTGTTAAAATTGTTTAGGTTTTGGTACACAATTTAGTGGATATAGTCAACGGTCTTAAATGCAGTAGCACTGTAATGTTCATATTCGCACGCCGGATCTATACCTATGTTTGTGTGGGTGATGTTTTAATGCACACACACAATATCCTATGTTTGCCAACTGACACAGAATATATTCCATTTGCAGGAGTTATCATTTTAAAAGAAAGATTTTTTTTCTTTTCTTTTTCTTTTTTTTTCTTTTTAGAACAAAATTTGGATTAAAATATCTACACAAATGGACATTCATTCTATGCGTAATCCAATACACTTAAATATTTCCGAACAAAAATATTTTTCCATTGTCATTCATAATAGATCACAACTATATACGAGTAGTCACAGTTGTTTATTGATCACAAAACACTGCATTGTTTATTTGTGCACCATAACATGCATACGTTACGTTATGAAGACACAGGCAAATCCATTATTGTTAATGAGCGTCGTAAACTCTCAAGTTTAGCGACTGTTTTTATTAAAGTATTTACTTACTTCTCACGTTGTAAAGGCATTACTGGGTTGTCTCGGTTCTAACATTATTTTGTTTATAAAGAATGGCGATTAAATGGCTCTTTATCTCATGTATTTATTCCCTATTTTTACTTAATAAACAAGATCACAATTAATAATTTGATTTAAAGGGGCATAATATAAACGATTTCCTTAAATTTTTTGTATTCTACTCAAAGTATATTTTTATTAAATTATAATAATATCCCCTGCATAATTTTTCCAATTTATATTATTATGTTATACTTGCATTAAACTATCCGTCAAATAATTGAGGAGAATGTACTATATGCATATTTTTATATTATCTTAATAATGGCCTTCATTGAAATCTCTACAAACTTATGAGGAAATCAAGTTAGAATAGTCAAAAAAAACTGTTAAAATTTTTCGCAATACGCAAAGTTTTACGAGAAAAACCATTTTATGTCTCTCTCTCGTAGAACTTTCATTGGTTTCATCATATATATACGAAGGCATTGTCTGTCCCTTAGTTAGCGTAAGTGGCACTTAAGTCTAAGTAGACAAATAAGAGATAAGGTTCAATCTGCGAAAAAAAGGTAGTAATTTGAACAAAATAACCTTGACATATATCTAAATGTCTGCACTGTTTGTAAATTTAATGTACAGTGGAACTAAGTAATGAAAACAATCGCAACAAATATATTTCTTTCCGGATAATTTGTAACGGACTGGCGAACTATTAAGACGGTGTATTGCAATCTAAAATCTGAACACTTTTAGTCAATAAACTAGACTCCTTTTAGATGTTTCTGAACCTTTCATTCATTCAAAATATTTTCGGGGCACAACTTTATTAAATAGTGCTCTCTTTAATAAAATTTTTACATGTTATAAGATTAATTCACTTTTTTTGTATTGTACACTTATATCTTTTAAATTAAGAAACGGATTTTAAGGCGGCTTTCACCGATAGAGAGCTTAATTCAAGAGAAAGGTTTGTTAGTACAATACATGTATATTACAGTAGAGAAATTTGTGGTGAAAAACATGTTAAAAAACATGTTTTTCACTACCATGGCAAACGCCTGCTAAACCAAAAGACTAGACTTGCTAGCCATACCTAATAATGTACTACGGAATTGTATATTTTAAGAAGAACTACAAAAAAGTCCTTGATAGTATATGTCTATCTCCTAAGGATGACCCACAGTAACCATTTTTATCTTTTAAATAATACAAAATAATAATGGGTTGGGAAGCTGTTTTAAACAACACATTATTATAATACGTTAGATTCGTTGTGCATTTAATGTAGAATAATATTGCCCTTAACAGGCTATCATTAAAATGAATATTTTAGAAGATATTAGAGGTTTAAGTGAGGAGGCCCAACGACCATCAAGCCGTGCGTTCGATCTGGGTAGCAGAGGCAGGATTGGAGCTGGCCCATAAATATTGGATTTAAAGATGTCCTGAAGTATAGTCCTATCATAATATTAGTATAATTAATTACTCCACACTGACACCACACCCGTGCGAAGCCGGGACGCTAGTAGTGGAATTTTATATTCCACTGCTAGCGATCCGTTACAAACAGAGGTTCCTCTGTGTTTATTACCATGAATTTAACAATATTTATATTTTAATATGAAGATTTTATAGCTTTTGAACTAAATTGACTGGTAATTACGCCTATTCCTGCGATTTCTTGTTCTAAATTTTATTTTAATTAACCTAAACTACAAAGATCAATAACAAAAAAACAATTAAAGGACTTTCTTGTGTAGTGATAAAAAAGTCATTCATGAAAACAAATATACTAAACTAGCAACGAGCTCTTAGTTCATCGCCTACAGTTATTATATTTTTTAATAATATATATGAATATATATGTGAATGTGTGTGTATGTATATGAACGTTTATATCTGTATGTGTGGTATTTAGATGTGTACACCAAATTCTAAAATAGTTGGTGTTTAAGAAAACCCTCACTCTTTCTCAGCATCGCCCAATCGGTCGGCTGGCAGAGAATGCTTTAGGCATTAAGTCCGCCGATGCATGTGTACTTATGCAAAAAGTAATAAAATAAATAAAATACCAAAATACTACACAAATGATCAGCATTGGCACAGTCGTATATTACAAAACCATTTTTGTTTGGGGCTACGGGTTTTTATACTGAACTTCTGAACTGCAGGTACTGCTAGAAAAAGGAAATATTCTGAAAGAGAGAATACAGCTAATCCAAAAACTAAGTAAGTAAGTATTCTCTTTTTTCGTTTAGTATAAAAGTGTGGTTTTAGGTAACTACCTAGATTCCATCTCTACCTCAAAGAAAAAAGGAACAGAATTTATTAAGTTATGGACATAAGCTATTAAAAAAACCCAATTAACGTTTATCGCAATTGAAACTTATGATTTGATATACCTCTGAATTGGTCTCTATGAAATAAGGTATTCTATATTTGTGCCGCCAACCTGAGCTCCTTGCAAATGACCTTGCCTTCAACATCTAATTCAACAGTGACATCAAGATCGTAGTATAACGCTTACAAGCACGAAATTCGGACTTACACGCAAATAAAAAGTGCAAACAATAAAATATGATAAACACATTTATTCATAGTCATACACTACACGTCCACTCAACAGCCATACATTATTAGTTACAATTATTATACAGTTCATCTTACACGAATCTTAAACTAGGGCTACCAAATACAATACATGCCAGCTGATACGAGTCAATTCTTTCCAAGATATTTAAGATATTAGTAGCTAACACATTAATCTTTGAAATTACAAAGTTATAAAATAAATAATGTGCTCAATGTGCACCTTACGAATAGTTGGAATGTTTATTGTTGAGCCACATCATGGCATTTGGCAATACATCCTCGACCTTTCGCATACACCGATACGACTCGTCTTCGACACGACCTCTCTTGAAAAGGTCACCATGATTCTGTGATGTTCTACACCTATGTCAGTATCTATTCTACAATAATAATTATACAAAGCGTTTCTACATGCGTGTTATCACTGAAAGGACCATGAGGTCAAGGTAACTTAAATATTTTTTTGGTATTGTTACGCATCAGTCCGAGCGTCGCATAATAATAAGCACTGATATACACGGTCAAGGTCATTCTGACCAAGAGTCCGAGATCAAATTAATAAGCCTGACTAGGCCAACAGGTGAGCGATGGTTAACAGTAGCAGCGATGAAGTTACAGCCGGCAGCGTCGCCGTGTTGGGTTGTTTCTTCACCTCTTCAAGATCCTCACCAAACACATAGCTCTTCGAACCAGTGTGTGACTTCAAAATCCTGTAGTTAACTTCATTTAAAGACACTAGATTTTTAACAAAATTGTAGAGCCTATTAATAACCACATACACATTTCCCTTATTATCGAAAGTGAATCGGTCCACCCACTGAATGTAATTAATATCACGGGCGATCGTACGCTGACCCTCTCGGAAGTCAACAGCACTGTTCCATTCTGCGATTGTTGAATTACCGATTAATCCGTAGAAAAGCAGTCCAGCGGAGTCCATCTTCATGCCATCGGTCTGTGATGCTTTGGTACCTAAATCTTGTACATACGGACGCAGAGCACCATCGCCTATCTGTCCTAAACTTTCGTTACGAAGAACAGACGCATTGATAGCGTACAAGTGGAAACTGGACAGCGGACAATAGTAGACTTTCCTGTCAACTCTGCCATCCTCTGTTCGAAACTGGGGTCCTAGGGCTATCCCGTCAATGTTTACAGGAAGGTTGACTGTGGTTCCGTTGAGTCGGAACGTTGAAGCCTCGCCAACAGAAGACATTGACGGGGTGTCACGAACTTTCCACGATGTTTTATCACTGCGCCGAAAAACTATAATGCCAGGGTCTACAGCACTATTATCTGTGATGTACGCGTAGTCACCGTCCCGGTTATCAACGACAATGTCATTTAAATAAGTCGTTTTAGGATTCACGACATCCTCCGAGAATGGTATACGTTCCATCTCATTCTTCCCAGTCTTAAGATCGATGAGAACAAGGGAAGGACTGCACTTTGGATCTGGAGATTGAGTTAAAGTACCTACTCTGCCGTTATCCAAAATCCACATTATTCCATTCTTATCGATTTCTATGTTCTGCACAAATTGTAGAGCTTCGCAGTTGCCCTTTTCATTTTGTTCCCAGCTAGGGAATGGCCGTAACTTCGGTGCTGTGTCTACAGGTGTTACGGGGATCGTTGCCAAAGTTGCAGGGACTCCATCCAACATTCTCGGCATTGTTAAAAACAAGTTCTCGCCGTAGTAATTTATACCAGATACGAGAACATTTTGAGGAATGTATTTGCTTGCATTGAGGTAAGCCAGTCGATCTTGTGAAGATTCCCAATCGAAATCTATAGCGTTCCATTCGTATATAACACGAAACTGTTCACGCCTAGGTGCAGGCTGTCGCGGTAGAGGTTCATTTTGCGCGGCCGCCGCGGCTACGGCGGCTAACAACACCAGTGCTATCATCGTCAATGGGTGACGCAGCGGGAAGCGTGTGGCGCGGACGGCGCGGACGATTAGACTGACGCCGGAGCAACACCGTCGTCGCGACTTCTAAGCATACTTCAGTTTAGTGACGTCAGTGTAAATACAAAACAATCATTTCTTCAATGTTTTATCCATAAACAATATTTACTTTGGTAATCCAAGTTTAAATACACGATTTACTTCAATTAACTACAGTACAGTTGGAAGTATTGTATTATTGCACGGCAAGGGTGATACAAGGTCGTGATCCCACCCTCGGCTAGACGGAGGGTCTGTGAGTTTAAAGGACGTGTGCTGTTAACGTTCAGACAATCGATATTCTCTTACATATAGCTATGACAGTTGTAGATGTTTGTAGCACTGCTCTTATTCATGATAGTTAAACCGACAAATTTGAAATCTCATCTTGAACGGCGGTTATAATGATTGTTCGCTGTTTGAACTTCGGTTTCGGCCTTCGGTCCTAACAACACAATTAAATACCTATCGATAATTTTTTATATAAAGGGAATATTGTAGATAAATACTGTAAGAATATCTAGACGCGAATGTGCAAGTGGGACGCATGTAAATGAATATATGAAAATGTATACTGATTAGCTGATATGTACACCACTCGATCTTGATAAGCCATATTGTGTATTCAAACCTGTTGAAGATTTCATATATTTTTTTATAGGTAGGTTACATACGGTTGAAATGTCAATAGCATTAATGTTTTTTTACATATTTACTTGTTTATTTCCTTATTAGTGTGGTTTGTTTTATAGTTTATTTGGGATTGTTAAATATTTTATTAGGAAAAATACGGATATTATACGGTCAAGATAAATCAGTGCATCTTTATTCATACTTTTATTTATATTTTTAACGGTTCTGTAGGACTTTGTTCTAAATAATAATTGATGACGTTATTCTTAACTATTGTAAAATTATTTACTTCTAATTTTCAGTTTAACAGGTACAATAATAGGAAACTTGAAAACAGTAACGAATATCGTTTTTCATAATCGTTTTTAAACTTTATATCAAAAATTTATTTCAAAAAACTCTTTTTTATTTGGATGTACCCTATATTTTCCGTTTGGTTGCAGTCCCTAATGGCTTAAGAAAAACACACTACCCTTGAGGGTCGTAAAATTAGGAGTGAAGAATACAGTTTGTAGGCACATTGAAGTCGGTAAAACATTTTGAAAAGTTCATTAATACGTTCTACCCTAAGCCTAGGCTCAATTTGACACAATACCTAAAAACACAATATCTAAAACTATTTAGCTATATGTTGTATGCTGGGTTATAAAATCCGTTCATATAATGATAGGTAACCATTGCCACTGAATCAAACGTCCTTTATGTCGATTTCGAAACTTCATCCAAATACCTGGATGTATCAAAATACTTTGAAATTGAATACTTTGACATACTTTTTATACCTAATGAGTGAAAGTAAAATAGTATTACATTAAGTTATATTACAGTTTAAACATTATGAAAGTTTTCTCTTTGCAACACAAAACAAATAAAAAAAAACAAAAAAAATATGTGTTGCGGTTAGTGTACTAGCGTTTTTATAACTTTTTCGGGCACATAATATATAATATCTACATATATATACATATATATATATATATATAATATTAAGTTGGATTGTGTACGCTTCATAACTCAAAAGGTCACCGATTGAACTCAAATGACACGATATATCTACAACCCGCTTCAAAGATATTTTTTTCTATTTTTCGTGTCAGTTTTGTTGCCACGATGTGCCACAGAGAAGAGTAGCAAGGGTACAGTTAGTAATAGTATGTAGAAACTGAGTTCTAATCTCTGGAGACACCAATAGTTTTAAAAATATTTTTGTAATTACCCTTAGTAAAAATAGTTTGCTTTGATCTAACGTCGAACCCAAAAAATTATCTGTACTATGATTTGATATTTTACGTATCCGGCCTCAGTGATAGGCAAAATAATTATGCAAATGAAACCAAAAGAAAACAAACAATGAGATAAAAAGTACATTAGGTACCTAACTGTGATTGCATGTTCAATACACAGTGTTATCTTAACAGTCAGTTTTGACAAGCATTCGAAATTCCTACAACACTATTCTTCTTATCGTATCCCATAATATCAAGAAGTTTGATACTAAGTTAATGCTGTTAAGTGACTTACAGTAACACGTACGTACAGGTTCTTTAACTTCGTGCAAGCAGATTGGTTAATGATGTTTACCTTGGAATTGTTATACTACATACTTGCTATATTCTAAGTTTATCTTATTTAAACATGCTGCCTCCATGCCTACGAACTCCATGCCTAACAACTGTTGGTGACTCTGGTGTTGACTGGTAAAGAATTCCTATAGCATTACGTCATAATCGTTAATAGTTGGTATTGGTATTGGTTGTGGGCTTCGGTTTCCGCATTTAGACTCAGAGTGGTCCTTTATGCGTCGAGGATTGGTTGACTAGGTGAGCCAACCAAGCTCCTTCCAGAAGCGCAGAAGCCTCCTGGGGCGTTCACAGGCTTCTAGGAGCGACTTTATATCAGGAATGATACTTGCCCGTTGTGTGGCCACTCCCTCGCATTCCAGGACTACGTGGGCGGCCGTTTCTTCAGCTTCCAGACATCCCCTGCACAGGGGACTGTCCGTCGCATTGATTATGAATAGTTGTCGGTTCAGGGCTAGATGTCCTGTAATAGTTCCGACAACCATTCTGAGTTCCGGTCTGCTAAGACTGATCAATCTGCAGGTGAGTCGTGGTGTGACTTGATTCAGCACCAGTTTGGACTGTCTGCAGCCGGGTGAGTTTTTCCACCTCCGGTTGTGTGCTTCACAGGTCCGTTGCCTGACCCAGCATCGTATTTGGTTAAACGATATGGGCAGGAGTGGCGTTGGGCCAGAGGTTGGGGTTGCCGAGCCCCTCCTTGCCAACTCATCTGCGGCATCGTTCCCGTGTGAGTTACTGTGCCCTTTAATCCATTGGAGGAGTACCCCATTGAATATAGCGAGCTGTTCCAGTGCTTGGTGGCATTCGAAGACAATACCAGAGGTCATTGTGTTGCCCTCCAGTGCCTTTAAGACGGCCATGCTGTCGGATATTATTCGGATGTTGTAGTCCTTGATACCCCTTGACATGGCCGTTGTGGCAGCGTAAGTTATTGCCACACATTCACATTGAAATATGGAACTGTGTTGGCCTAACGCTAGTGATATGTTTATATTTAGGTCTTGCGAGAAAACTCCGGCTCCAGTTCCTGACCTAGTCTTGGAACCGTCCGTGTAAATTCGGACTTCGTTAATGCCGGATTGATCTCGGTCATTTCCATGTATCTGGATGTAGTATCTTCTTGTGAAGATATGGTGTTTTGGGATTCTATCGCATGGAGCTGCTATCAGTGGTTCGTATTCCACTAATTGATCCCATAATTTGGAGTGCGATCCCTCACTTTTGTGCCATAGACCCAGGTGTTTGAGTCTAATGATCGCCATGGCGGCCTCCTGCTGTATGAATAGATCCAGGGGTGGCAGACCAAGAGCCACCTCCAGTGCGGCAGTAGGCGTTGTGCGCATACAGCCAGTGACCGCGGAACATGGAAGTCGCTGGAATTGCTGCAGTTTGTTTATGACGGTGCTAAGCTCTGTTCTCTGCCACCAGACAACAGCACCGTAAGTGATTATTGGTCTTATGACTGTCCTGTATAGCCATAAAGTGATTTTGGGTGATAGTCCCCAGCTTTTGCCGAGTAGCCGCTTGCATTGGCAGAAAATAATGCAGGCTTTATTCAGTTTTTCATCGAGGTGCATATTCCACAGGAGTTTACTGTCCAGTATTACTCCTAGGTATTTGACCTCTTTGGTAAGAGTAAGTTGTGTTCCAAATAGCTTAGGAAGTCTGAGATTTCCTAGGCTGCGTTTGTTTGTGAACATGATCATCTCTGTTTTGGATGGGTTCACTGTCAGGTTGTGTGCTACGCACCATTGTTCCACGATCTTCAGTGCAAGTCTCATTTGATCGCATGTAATGCTCTCAAAAGGACCGCTGATAAGAATAGTAAGATCGTCTGCATAGCCTATTGTGAGGAATCTTTGGTCATTAAGTTGTGCGATGAGCTCATCCACAACAATGTTCCATAGAAGAGGGGAGAGTACACCGCCCTGGGGGCAACCTCTAGCCACCACTCCTCTAGTCACTTCGCTCACAGTGAATTGAATAGCTCTATATCTTAGCATGCTATCGATCCACCCTGAGATTGTGGAATCAACACCATGCCTAGATAGAGCTTGGCTAATGCTGGTGAAGTTGGTCTTGTCAAAGGCTCCCTCGATATCGATAAAGGTAGCCAGTGTTGACCTTTTGTGATTTAGATTGTCTTCTATATATGAAACAACTCGATGTAGGGCAGATTCTGTTGATTTACCCATCGAGTATGCGTGTTGATTGAGGTGTAGAGGGTGACTGACTAACGCAGTTTCCCTGATTTCCCTATCTATTAGCCTCTCGAGAACCTTTAGTAGAAAAGATGTGAGACTAATAGGTCGGTGTGATTTGGGTTGTGTGTAGTCACCTTTACCAGGTTTGGGGATGAAGACTACTTTGACTTCTCTCCATTTCAAGGGGATGTACTGATGCGCCAGGCAGCCCCTATAAATTTTTACAAGATGGTCCAGTAGTGTCATATCACACCATCTCAGTAGGCCTGGGAAGACACCATCTAGTCCTGGCGCCTTGAATGGTAGGAAGCTGTTAATTGCCCATCTTAGTTTGTCATGATTGACAACTTTGCGGGCCGTATCCCAGTCTGTATCATGTGGTGGTTTTTCCCATCTGTCTTCCCATTTTTCCATCACATCTGAAATGCGACATCCAGGGAAGTGTGTTTTTAATAACAGCTCTGAGGCTTCCGAGTCTGTTTTGGTATACTCACCATCAGGCTTCTTCAGTGAGCCAAGATTGTGATCGCCTCTACTACACAGT